GACTGTTTTTCAGTTTTATAGTTGTAAAGTTGATTTTCTGGACTTTTATCTGAAGTTTATCACCAGTTGTCATCCATTTGATTCTTTGTGTTTATTTATTTATTTGGCCTCCTATTCTAATTTTAGGCTGTTGATGTTTTTTGTTTTGAAAAACTGAGTGACATAAATCCAAGAATTATCATCTCTGCTTTTCCAGAGCAAGGATATTCCTTAAAATGTCTAAAAATCAACTCAGTCATTCACTCGTTCAACAAACATTTATCATAGACCAAACACATAATTGTAAGGGATTAATAGAATAGATAGATAAGGTCTCTGTTCTTATATTCAAAAAGAAACACTAGATATTTACTTGCAGGACATGCTGTGATAAAGAAAATAGGCATGTCGGAGAGAGAGAATAATTTATAGGGCAGTTACATTAGATAAAGGAAAAGGGAGATGACTTCATGAAGAATCGGTGAGGCAGGCTCTCAGCAACAGCAAATGGAAAACCACCAGCACAGCTCAGAGCTCGATCAGAATAGCTGGGTCATGGGAATCTACGATCTGGTCTGGCTGCAGCTGTTCTGGTTAGGACCCTGACCCTGGCCTCCAGCATGGACACCCTAAATTTGCTCCTGCTGCTTATACCAAAGCAAGGAGAGAAGTCTCCTTCCGGAGCCCAGCCCTACTGGAGCTATGGGAGAAATTCGCAATGGCTAACTTCACATTCTTCCCTAAGGGATACATGGAAGCTTGGGATTATGGTCTCACCCTTCCCATTAACTCTTGAGATAGGCCATCCTCTCCCACCCACTAAGACTAAACCAAAAGTACTAAACTGAAAAAGAACACTCCTTCTTAGCATAGGAGCGTCTCGAGACATCCCAGGATGATCCACTGGGAATTATCGATCTCTGACTCCTCCGATCACTGTGTCCACCTTTGCATTGTGTACACCGGAGCAATCCTGGCTGGTTTGGGTTATCTGGATCTTTGCCAATCCTGAGGCATTGACCTCCCAGACCCATCACGCATTACTAAATTTGTTTGATTCTTATTTCATCCTTTCACCGTACCCCTCCTACAGGGGACCTTGGTCAGGTCCCCATACAGCTCCTCGCTCTCACCTGCCACATTTGAGAACTGACAGTCTTTGAGGTCATTTCACAAGGCTTTGTACATGGAACCAGGAATCACAGGAGGACGAGGCACAGAAACAAGGCAAAGTTCAGCCAGGTGACTGGTTTCAGGACCCCCACAACTACAAAAATCCAAGGATGCCCAAACCCTTAATATAAAATGGCATAGTGTTTTATATCATTTACACACATCCTCCCTATACTTAGATTATCTCTAGATTATTTATAACCCTTAATCCCATGTAAATGCTATGTTAGGAGTTGTACTGGTTTGCTTTGGGAATAGTGGCAAGGAAAAATATCTGTGCATGATGTTCAGCACACATGCAGATTCCCCCCAAACATTCTGACCTGTGGTGGCATGGAATGTGGAACCCATGGGTGTGGGCCTTGCTGTGACCCCTTCTCAGAAGTCCCTGTTGCTGTGAGAACTCGCGCGTGCCTGAGTGTGAGTGGGACTGTGCACCTTTCCTACCCCCCAGTGCCTGTGTCTCCGTGTGACAACAGACCTCAGTTCTCACTTTCAGCCTACTAATGTCACACAGGAGTGTGGCCAACTCAGTCACAAAGTCATCTGGAAAACGAAGCTCAGATCTAGTGACACCAACCTCCTGCTCGGATCAGCATTTCTTTTCATTTTCATGCTTCCCAATCTTTTTTTTTTGATACCGGGGAGCAAACTCATGACTTCACGCTTGCCAGGCAGGCACTTACGCCACTGAGCTAAATCCCCAGCCCCCTTTTAAACTTTTTTTCCCTAAATCTTTTTAAACAGTGAAAATAAAGCCAGATATGTAATCCCAGCACTCCAGAGGCTGAGGCAGGAGGATCATAGCAAGCTTGATACTAGCCTGGGCTACAAAGTAAACTCAAGTCAATCGGAATTGCATAATGAGACCCTGTCTTAAAAAGACAATAAATAAATAACAACAACAACAAAAAAAACCCAGTGAGAACAAGAACCACAGAGGAAGCAGCTAATAGCCCTTCCCAGAAAACCCTGACGCAGAGAGAAAAATAACAAAAAGAAGGCCAGAATAAAGAAACATCAGTGAAGCTTGGTAGCCCACCTATTCCTCCAAAGCAGCCTGTATAAAACAACGTGCCCTTAAACTAGCAGACCTGTTTTGATTCCAGTTACGACCTGCGTCCGTGGACCCAAAAGGATGAACATTAGCAACTTTTGCTTTTCTGGTGCTAGTGAGAGAAAGGTATATTCTGTGCCGCTGACCACAGATCATGAAGAGGGATTTATATATGCAGGTCAGAGAGCAGCAGGCACATTTCCTTCTGGCTGCACAGTGATGGAAAGAGACAATCAGCAAGACCTGACTAAAATTCTGTCTCTGTCATTCTCTGTCATTCACCAGCTCTATGGAGAAGGTACTTCATTCTTCCAAGAACGCTGGGACTTTGGTGCCTACCTGATCAAATGACTTCATTCATCTGCAATACCTAGTGAGTACATAGATCTCAACCAAAATTAGATCAGTTTTTCTTTCTCTCCCTCTGCCTTTCTTTCTCTCTCTCTCATACAGGGAATGAAATTCATAGCTGTGTACACGCTAGGCAAGTGTTCTACCACTAAGCTGCATCCTTATTTATTGTATTTTATTTTGACTCATTTATTTTCATATTTCATTTCTTTTTTTAAATTTTTTTATTTTAAAGAGAATAAAACCAAGCAAAATAAAGCAGAATAAAGTCAGCTGCCCATTCCATCAGATATAACAAAATCAAACAAAACAAAACAGAAAAAAGCCCAACCCAACAAAACAATGAAAATGATACAGGACTTCAAAACAAGATGATAGGGAATTAACAATGGCTACCACCTTCAGAAGGAGAGGACCCACAGATGCCCCACTGCTTACTGTTATCCTCTGAACAGATGATCAGACCACTGGCCCTAGACCTGCAAAGTCGGTGAAACACCAAACACTCTGAGTATCAAATTGCATTTCACCTGAATAACTATCATCACAGCCTGTGTTTCTCCAGATCAGCTAGTTGCTCATGGGGGTGAGGTGGCAGCTGGGTGGGGGTGTTGGCTCTTGTTTTCCTGGAAGGGGCTGGGGTCTGGCCCACGCATGGCGCTGATTCACAGGAGGGAGGGTGCTGTAGTCAGGGGTGGTGCAGAGAACGATTGAAGTGAGGAAGTGGAGTTTATAATATTATTTATGATGGCCACCCAGAGTTAACACAAGAAACTGCAGGGAATCTATCCACAACACCAAAGACATAGAATATTTCTCCAAAGGCCTGAATCCCACAGCAATGTGCCACATGAGTCCAGATGAAAACCCAGAGCTCATGACAATGCCTCCTACAAGCTCAACTGGAGGTCCAGAGCCCACAAGAAGGACTCACGCCAGTCTCTTAAGGATCCATCGCGTTGGGAAGGCCAAAAGGTGAGCATTGGAAGCTAGGAAGTCTATTCCAGCAGGGTGAAGCAGCTGTGCTGGTGGGATGAGGGTTCTACGCTGGAGCCAAGAAGTCACACAGCAAAGACCTGTAAAGCACCACAGGGCTGTCCTGTAAAGCACCACAGCCATCCTCAGCGACACGGAGGCCCCAAGCTCCTCTGACCATAAGCACAGTTGAGTACATGCCAGGAAGCCAGTGTGACCAGTTCATTCTGGACACCAAGCGGCACACATCTTCCCCTCTGGATCCAGGAAGCAATGCTCGATGTGAGGACCAGAGCTTCTCCAGGAGTACCAACGGCTCAAACAGCAACTCATAGGAGAACCCACAACGCCTCAACACCTCAACACCTCACTTATCCTTCTCCACTTCTCTATGCTGGCAACTTTCTGCAGGTGGAGCATCTACGCTCAGTGCCATGCTGATGTAATTCAGCTGGCATTGACCACCAGTTTCCAATCCATAACAGAGGGCTTCCTGCTTCTTGTATATCATTTCATTTCATAACAGAGTTTCTTTGAATTCCCTAGACTGGCCTCCAATTTCCAATCCTCATACCTCAGTCTCCAGAGTAGCCAGGATTGCAAGTGTATAACTCCATCCCAGGCTGGCATTAGCTCCTTAACATCTCCCTCCCTCCTGGGACATTTTGGGTTCATGGGTATAAATGTGTATGTGCTTAAGAGACAGAAGACTCCTCTAACTGAAACAAGATTTGATGTATTTCATCTGCTTCTACATATGACATGAGAATTCACTGAAATCCCTTTCCCCTGGTAAGACCTCCAGAAAAATTGACGAGAGTATTCTGTTAATATTGTTCAATGTTAGAAGTAGCTATTCTTCTGATGGTGTCTGAAGAGGCATGGCCCAGAGAGTTAAAAGTCATGAGTTTACTTCCATTATTCCTATTATGTAAACACAAAACCTGAGATAACCAATAAGCTTTCTTCTTCCTCCAACTGGTTGGATTTGTAACACTGGCCTTAGCCCAGCTCTTGGGGTAATTAAGTGATATTAGATATGATCCTGGAATTCTTTAAAATGTGAATATCTTGCTTTTTGTATTCAAACATAATAGTGTTATATGCTATGCTCTACTAACTTTTCCTTATTTTGGACCTAATTTAATGTTTTTTTCTTGCTTTAAATTTTAAGTTCCATTTCAGTACAGTATATCACATTAAAATCATATGGCATTGGACCAGATATGTAAAATATTTACTAATCACTTAGCATATATGCCACAGTACAATAGTCATGGCTTTTCTTCTTCAAGATACTGAAAACAAAAAGTAGCTATCAGGGAGATACATCATTTGTTGAAAGTCATAAGAATGGTAAATGACCACAAGACTCAAATCTTGGTGTTTCCGATTCCAAAGCTCAATATTTCACAAGATTAAATAATAACATTTAGGACACTTATCTTTGTACCAACTGTCAAACTAAAACAAAAAAGCTTTACTTTTAAAATTTCCTGGTTTAAGCCCACATATGCCAAACCCCCATATACACGAGGACCAGTTAGACACTTGCTGCTTTACGAAAATGAAATATTATTCTTTCCTGAGCTGAGACCTTGCCATCACGCAGTCACTGATCATGCAAGTTACTCAGATTGCAAACTCCATGAAGGCAGGAACCACATTCTTCTGTGCTTATGGTTGTAACCCCGCATGGTGGCCCACACTGCAAAACACACAATAGATTTCTATGGAAACAATAATATGCTTATGAAAGTTTCAGGTGTAGATTTTAGTGTTAAGTAAAACTTATGGGGAAGTCAAGAAGGACATATTGCTCTCCAGCATGACCTGCTCTTTTCTCCTGTGTTAAACAGCAGATGGTCTATAAGGTAAAATACCTAAGCTGAAATTTGGACAAAGACAGCAACACAGTGTGAATTCCTTTTTGAGGTCATGATTCATTAATAAAAACCATTGAAAAAGCTTTATACAAACAATTGCATGAATAAAATGCTAAGAAATACAGTAAATGTGAATTAAAGGCTAGAATAGCAGACACATGATAATACAGCTAGTATTTACACCGGAAAACAAGAAATCCCAATGTCATGCATCTTGTGTCCACTGAGCGGCGCTGCAGACTGGGGTTAATGTTATTTCACAAAGTCCTGCTGTTAACGCCAACAGTAATTCTTTATATGTAAAAATTCCTTTCTTCATTTGATTGTCACACCATTTGTGTGAAAGCTATAAAGCAGAGACATCTATCCTTTAAGTACAGACCTTAGACACCATTAAACATAAGAAATTGCTTCTTAGGAAAATTCTAACAAATTTAACAGCACTATTCACTTTTAAATGGCCCATTCACATTTGATCTGCAAATCCCAAAGTTATTAACTGGTGACCTTTGTGCTCTTCTCTAGTTTCAAGGTTCTGCCTCATAAAAAGGCAATCTCTTAAAAAAGGAGAATAAAATAGCTGAGCTGCATCTTCCTGGTGGCTGCTCCCTCCATCACTGCTGTGTAAATAAACACCATGAGACTCCAAGGAGGCCCAGCCAACAGACAAGGCCATTGTCCTGTCAGAAACAGTGGGTTTCAATTATGTCCTTCACCCCTCCACAGGTGTCTGGTCCTTAAAACTTTTCAGAACATCAGTATTATCATACGTAAAAAGGAAATAAAAACTCCCTTTTGTTTACCTCTCTTGTTTGATAAGAAAGTAAACTGAGTTACCATGAGATAGCACAAAGCATTCTGGGAACATAGGTGGCCATTACTTCCTTGAAAGCCTACTTCACGCCCATGTGACATAAGGGAAAGAAACTCCCAACCTACCAGATGTCTGGTAGGAGTTCGTGTTCTCTAAAACCAAAGAACGAATTTTAGGGATAATGGAGGTCAAAAGCAGAATATTTACTGAGAGAAAGAGAGAGAGATGGAAGGGGTCCTGAGTGGGTTGCTGAGGACCCTGCCTTCTCTAGGGATTTTTATAGAGCAAGTTGAGGTGAGTCTAAAGTGGGGGAAAATAGGAACTTGCAAATCAGGGGCATGAGGTGGAACAGAACTAGGTTAATCACTAAGATTATGAGTGTAATTGCTTAGGTAAAATTGATTGAATCGGGATCCAATGGGGAAGCCAGTCACGTGGTAAAGGGCATGAATACAGAACAGGGTCTTTGCTGGTGAGGGGTTGGGCTAGTGGCTTCTTCTGGCTTCCTCAAAGTGATCAATCCCTATTTAGAATATCAATCCCTGATGTTTATTCTTAGGGTGTGGTTGCATTATCTTTTATCTTGAGATCTGGCCCACAGCCCAGATGTCTGTCTCCAAGGTTGCAAGATACCTGGTCTTCTGCATTGGCTGCTTTGAAGGCCCAGCCCTGTCTGACTGCCCGCAAGATTTCTAATTAACTCAGCTGCCTACAACATATTAATGCTCCAGCCTTGACTCCCATATGGAAGAGTCTTTCCTCTCAACCCAGAAGGTGTCTGCCAGCTCCTGGCAGTTTGATGGACCTGCTGTCTACATGCATATTAGTTATCTGATGCCGTGACTCGATATTCTCAGGCATTTCCTTCTGTTACCTGCACAATTTTCTCTTTGATATTCAATCATCTGGTGTTGATTTTTAAGTGTCACATTGATATAGGGGAATGAAACTTCCAACCAATTATATGTCCGGTACAATTTCATGTTCTAATTTCTTTTTTTGGTCCTTTGTACGGCTGATTTCACTAAAATCTTATTGAATGTGTTCAGTAATAGCAAGACTTCATTTCTCCACAACCCTGTCTCACTCTCTCCAATGTGCAGATTTTCATTTAAATAAAGCTTAAATAATAGTGAGATAATGACTTGGATTTTATTTTAATTATACATACATTTTTTTTTTTTTTTTTGAGATAGGGTCTTACCATGTAGTTTAGGCTGACTTTGAGTCCACTTAATAGCTAGCCCAGGCTGGGATGGAACTTGGGATTGGGTTAGCAATCTTAACTTCATAGATAGCCCAGGCTGGGATGGAACAACAATCTTCCTGCCTCAGCCTCCTGAGTGCTGAGATTATAGGCATGAGCCATCATGCCTGGCTTTAATATTTTTATTTTATTTTATATTTTATTTTATTTTATTTTTTGACACAAGGTCTCGCTATGTAGTTCAGGCTGGCCTTCAGCTTACTTTGTGACCCACGCTGGCCTCAACCTCACAACAAAATCCTCCTGCCCAGCACCCTGAGTGTTGGGATTACAGGCAAGAGCCACCATGCCAGGATTAAATTACATATTTGTATACATAATTTCCTCAAATTAAGGCTTAGCTTAATAGCAAGTTCTCTGGGATTTAATTTCTTGAAAAAAACTTCCTGCTTTTAAATGGAAGAATTTTCAGAGCTGGTTCAAAACAAAACTCAAAAAATAATCTGATAAGAAGATCTTAAAAGAGAGCTGGGTGTGGTGGCACATGTACATAATCCCAGCATTTAGGAGACAGAGGCAGAAGCCAGTCAAGGTAGCTCACACCTGCAATCCCAGCATTTGGGAGGCTGAGACAAGAGGATCATTGTGAGTTGGAGACCAGCCTACGCTACAAAGTGAGCTCAAGGCCAGCCTGAACTGCATAGAGAGAACTTATGTCAAAAAAAATAAAATTTGCTTAATTTTAAAAAAGAATCTCAAAGGGCTCCTATAAGCCTGAGTCTTAAAAGACTCCAAATGAACAGGATGTGGAATTATTCAATGTTATATCTTATCATTGGTGATCTGCTGAGGGAGGCTGGGCTGATCCCCGTGGCCTCGGCTGCCCCTAGGCTGACTTCTCAGTGTTTTTCACAGTGTCCCACTAAAGGCCCGTTGTGGTGGTGCACGCCTGTAACCCTAGCACTCGGGAGGCCTAGTCAGGAGGTCACTGCAAGTTCGAGACCAGTCTAGACTACATATAGAGACCCTGTCCCAAAAAAGAAAGAGAAAAAAAGATAGGAAAGAAGGAAGGAAGGAAGGAAGGAAGGAAGGAAGGAAGGAAGAAAGAAAGAAAGAAAGAAAGAAAGAAAGAAAGAAAGAAAGGAAGGAAGAAAAAGGAAGAAAGAAAGAAAGAGCCCAAGATGCACCACTAAAAGGGCCTCAGGTCAAGTGCCAGAAGCGCCGTTATTTACTTACTTGTAAATATGGCAAACATTCCCTGCATTCCTTATACATGACAGTTACCTCAGAGCTCTGCAAAAGAAGTGCTTTTAGTTCCTTTTGGAAAGAGATTAAAAAGTGGGAAGGATTTCAAAAGCCAGGAGTTTTTCTAATTTTCCATGCTTCCTCCCTCAACTTAACCCTTTCTTGACTTCCCAGCCACTGTAACTCAGGACACCTTGGCCAAGTCAATTCTTTGTCTTTGCACAAAAAATTCATTCTTCAGATTGCTAACCCAACGCTGTGTACGCTCTCCCTGCGGGGAGTGAATGGTCTGCATAAGGAGAGGCTACCAAATGCTCCTCATCTAGACGCTGAGAGCCTGCTTGCTTCCTGCCAACCTGGCTGTGGCATCCTGATGAAAGCTGGGGCCACCAAGTGTGTGAATGCCATCACAGCTCATTCAGCGCTAAGTTATTGTCCCTTTTAGAAGCCCATTCATTCCTCTACTCCATAGCGGGAAAAAGAGGTTTCAATGGATAGTGTTTGCTGCTTTTTGCTAATTCTAATAAACAAGGGAAGGACGTAAATGGAGAGAGAGGCAACTTGTTGAATAATTACATACGAGATTAGAATATAAAATATGTAGATATTCCTGACTGCAGGTTAATTTTACCTGGCCATACAGTGGTTTTACTTTTTAATTTCATTACTATTTTATTTTTAGTCTCTATAAGGGAAGATACATGACCTACATCTCCGATCATCTTATTCTAATGCGATTTGCCAACCTGACTCCTAAAAGCAATGACCTTTCGACCTCAAGCTATGGTCCCTCTGACGTTTCTCTCCAATGTTCCATTCCTGTCCAAGTCCATGTAATCAGAAAGGACAGGATAGTTTACAGGCAGAGTGACTCATAGGAATGTAATTGGAAACTATGAGAAACATTCAGGTATTCCCCAGATGTGGGAGAGAGATTTAGTGACAAGGAAACCAGGGCAGTGTCCCTGTTGCCTAAGAGAGCATAGCTTGTCAGATGTAGTGGTGAATGCCTATAATCCCTGAATATTCTGGGAGGCTGAGACAGGAGGATACCAAATTCAAGCACAGCCCAGGGAACTTAATGATTTAGCTAGATGCTGCCTCAAAACAAACAAACAAAATAAAGGACAGGAAAAAGAAGGGAACATAGAAAGAAAGAAAAGAGTATAGCTAGGGTGAAGCTGCATTTTGGAGGGTGACTTAGGTTCTGAAGAAGCTGCGCGGGCCGGACAAAAACCCATAATGGCCAAGGACAGCCTTGAAACCTGATGCCCGAGGCTCAGGCAGTTCACTGCCTTATGATTCAATGTTTCTATAGTGGAAAACCAGATTACAGCATCTGATTTAACGTCAGAAAACTAGGCATACACTATGAGGGTGGTGTCACACAAAAATTAGCACTAGAATCCCAAAAGTGAGTCTCCCCCCTCCACATTATATTTTTGTGGCACTGGGGAATCTGGAGATTGAGCCCAGGGCCTCACCCATGCCAGGCAAATGCTCTAGTACTGAGCTACCCTGGAGTCGTTTTTTTATTCGTTTACTTTGAGACAGTGTCACACCAAGTGGCCCAGCCTGACCCTGAGTTTGCCATCCTCCCTCCTTAGTAGCTGAGATTAGAGGCTTGTGACATCACCTCTGACAAAAGTGAACTTTTTGATTTTCAAAAACTGAACAATTGGGGCTGGGGATTTAGCTCAGTGGCATAAGTGCCTGCCTTGCAAGCAGGCAGTCGTGAGTTCAAGCCCTGGTACCGATAAAAAGGAAAAAGATGAAAAAAAAAGAGGTCTCATCAAAAACTGAACAATTGAGGTGACTTTTAAAAAATCCACTCAGACCTTTCCTTTGCTCCCACCTTTAAAATCCCACATGAATCATAAGTCAACAGACTGAGAAATGATTCCTATAACTTCTAATTTAGAAACACCTGCTTTCGGAAGAGTTCATGCTTGTGCACATGTACAAACTTCTGAACAGCACACCAGAAAAGCTAATATTGGTTATTTCCAGCCCCAGAAATTGAGGGCAGAGTGGCTCAGAGAGATGATTGTGAAATTACTCTTTCTGTGCGTGCTATCTATGTATAAATAAGAAAACTTAAGGAAGCGTCGTAATAGGCACATTCTTTCCACTTTATTTTGTATTTCATTTCACTGTATTTTAAAATAGCTCTCATATGTCTTATTTGAGATATATAATTTCTCAAAATTTACCTGAAAGTGTTCATTGTTCCTATGTAATTTAACTTGAGCATGAGATCATGTCTGTATATCTTTTTTTCACGATCTTCCATGAGAAAATACAATTATTGTTTTCAGTTTATTTTTTGTTCAATTATAAATGTTTACTGAAAAGAAACTATGCTTCCATATCATGGTAACAAAAAAGAAAAACCACACTGGTTAAAAAGTATTAAAATATAAAATAGTGATAAATTGTTTTCAATTTGGATCCCCACATATTTGGAGCCTAATTTTAACTGATTTAATTAATAACCTTTAATTAGCGTCCAAATGATAGACCTGTGCTGAGCTTAGCAAACAACACTATAACCCAATGTGGATCCAGTGGTTTTAGTTCAGTTTAGGGTGGAAGATGACTTTGGCCTCTTGAATTGATGTGTTAAGAACCAAAGATTCGGGCCAGGGATTTAGTTCAGTTGGTATAAGCACCTGCCTGGCAAGCGCAAGTCTTCAGTTCAATCCCCGGTACCACCAAAAAAAAAAAAAAAAAAACAAAAACAAAGATTCTAAAACTAGCAGAAAAGTACAGCAATATCATGCCATCCATTCATCCACTTTATGTATGTTTACAGAGGTAGCATAGTTTCCATGCCGATGACCCTTGGTCGATTGCTCATGAGAAGCTCCTGCCCTCCCTGTACATTTTCTTTTGGACACTCTGTACCTTATACTGTCAATACATAGTGTGGACATCAGCCTGCCAACACAGCTGGAGGAGCACAGGACAGAGGACACAGAATAAAGGTGACAGAGAACCCTGCCCCTCCCCGAGCCTATGGTTTCCAAGACATCCAAATACACAAATAATTGTCTGAACACAATGTTACAGGTGAACACTGAGTAAACACTGAGGTGTTCTAAGTCTTGCTGCCAAAGTCCTTCACAGTGGGAAGCAGGAAAAATATACACAAATTAAAAGCGTCCTCATTTAGCAAGGGTGTAGTGGCTGAATTGGCTAAGGATAAAGCCACAGGGAAGTCCAAGCAATGGTAATTTAATTTTTGGTTTGGGTAATTAGTTAATAGTTTTCATGCAAGGAGAACAACGTGTAAATATTTTCCTTTTTAAGAAAATATGTTCTGAAATTGGGCTTGATTAATTAGGATGAATCTGTTTCTGTGGTAGCTATTATGCCGATTTATACCCAAAAGAGTTTTAGCCTCATTATGGCCTTCAAAAAAGTCTCAAAACATGTGGAAAAGGGCTTTAGGGATTTTTGATGAATGAAGAAAGAAATTCCTTAGTGGAATACAGTTAGTAACATTTTGCCTTGCAGATTAAATCGATCGATTATTGATGGGCTGAGTCATATTCTGAAGGATGTCAAAGAAACTGGTGCTCTTTGTCTCAGAAGCCATTGCAGCTATGACAAATACGCCCAATCTGTTAATTCAATTGCATTAAAGAAATAAATTACATTACATGTTCTTTGCCTTGGACTCACCCTTCTCCTTCATTCCACATTGATGTAGGGACCTTCAAGACAGCTCTTCCTGTCTTTTTCTTAGCACCATTAGGATGACTGTCAGGAATCTCCCACATGGCTTTTTAAAAACAGTTGTTCCAAAGCTCTCTTCACTCTTACATCTCTTAGCAAGGACCACCAAAACGCTCCTCCATCACTTACCTCATGGAAAACCTGCAAACATTTTCCTTTGCTACTTCTTGGAATCTACACTTTTCTAGTGGTTTTCAAGAACATGAAGGACAGTCCTTTGCACTGTTCCACATTATTCCACACTATGTTCCACGTAGTGATATGTGCCTATAATCAAGAGGCTGACACAGGAGGATCATCAGTTCAAGGCTCACACAAACTACATAGGGAGACCCCGGTTTAAAAACTTAAACATTCCCACTACTTTGTAATGTCTTCCCCCCAAACCCTATATTCTAAGAAACAGGAGGAAAACTTGCAAAAGGCAGTGGTGGGAAGGAAAAAGATTAGCACTCTCTGAATTCCAATTCCTTCTGGCCTGTGTTCCGGGATTAGCATGGTGAGATGGACCCTGGCTGCATTTCTCCCGCTGAAGAAATAATTTAAATGAGCTTGTTCTGCATTTTTGCTGGCCCAAATCTAGACAGTAGCTCAGTAGAGCTGGGATTCAGGTCCAGTTTCTGAGTCCCTTTCTTTGGCAAATGTCCCATTCATTGTGCTTGTGCACATCTCACCCCCCCCTCCCCGGCCACTACCAGCCTGGAATGTCCTTCCCCTGCCGCACTTTCAAGATCCGAGGGTGGACCTGCATCTTCTAGATTTCCCTACGCATCTTCTTCCTAAGTGACTTGAGAATTTAGCTCCTTTCCTGACCTCCGGATTGGTTAAGCAGTCCCTCCTCTGTGTTTCTTTCACATCCTGTTTTTATCCTATCACGTATTTTATTATTATGTAACAAATATAGAGAAAACTGCACATATTCTAGGTGTACAGCCTGAAGAAGTAACAAAAAGCAAAATCATCCACCAGATCAAGAAATTTCTAGCACTCTGGATTCCGTCCTCATTCATTAGCTCTACAGTCTTCCCCCAAGGATAATCACATCTTGACTTCCAAATTGATTCATCTTGTTTGGCTGCTTCTAAATATTATATAAATCAAATCAGTCCTGTTTTTGTTTGTGAGTTTTCTTCCTTGTTGTATATAGCAACAGTTCTGTTGTTTTCATTGTATGGTGACGCATGGGAAATCCTGTAATGTATTCATCTGACTGGTAGACATTTTGAATTATTCTGATTTGGGGGTCAACATGCGTAACATTACTGTGAAGATTACTGAAAATATTTTTTGAATATAGGAACCCTTTTTGGAACCCCAGGAACCATAAGTTTTACATATATGATAATTTTGGTACATATTGCCAAAGAATTTTCTAAGCAAGTAGACCAAGTTCTTCTTCTTCTGCAGTGTATATTTTTGCAGTTGCTACTAATCTTCACCAAGCCCTGACAGTGTCTATAATTGCAAAATTTCTCTCTCCTTGGTCCTATCCCTCTTTGTCTTCCTCTCCTTCACTTTGCCTAGTACCACACCTAGGTGGTACTTTGTAAAATCTGATGAGTTAATATATAAATGAATAATAAGCGTATGTTTGTTTGCTATTGTATTTTCTTGCCACCGCTTAGGCATGATAAAAGTAATGGTTACAAGCATGGATGGACTTTGGGGTCAGAATGTCATAATTTGGCTTCTGACCTTACTACTCACTAACTAGTAAATTACCTTTCTGTGCTAATTTCTCTGCTTTTGACATCATAGTGTTGTTATGGAGATTGCATAAATTGAGCACAAAATGCCTAGAACAATGTCTGGCATTTTGAAAGCGCTCTGAAAGATTACCCATTACTGGGATTGAGAATTTACCTCCTTACAGCCCACATCTCATTATAGTCCCTAGAGCTAGAATGGCTTAGTAAGAATATTAGAGCTTCTCCTACCGCAGATCCCTTGTACTGAGAGCCCTTGTACTTTTTTCTTTCTTTTTTTTTTTTTTTTTTTTTTTTTGGTACCGGGGATTGAACTCACAACCCTGTGCTTGCCAAGCAGGAACTTATGCCACTGAGCTACATCCCCAGCAACCCCTTATAATTCTGAAGTTCCCTTTGCTCACATCCACCATCTGTCAGATACTATAATATGTAGCTGCCACATCTTGCCAAGATAATGGGCTCCCTAAGGATAGTGACAGATTTATTTTTCATGATAGTGATAGCTTTAGTCACATATTAACTTATGGGAATCTGAACTGTGTAAGTTCACCCCAAGCCCATATTTGAGCTGACCAGGATTTGAGAACTATGGAGAAGCGAGTGGTCCTTTTTCAATTGTCACGTGCAAATGGAGTCTAGCTGTGGCTCAGAGAATACACTGGAAGCAATATGCTGTACTCCCTTAGATAAACGAGAGCTGCACACGAATGTTAGTTCACATTTCATGTTTAGTCAATATTCGTCATCTGTTATCCATTCTTGTTCTTTCTGGACTTCCCTGTTCTTACCTGTTCCCTTCACACCCACTCGTGCTTGAACTAATCTACGACTGTATTTGCGTGAGAACACTGGAAATTCCTCTGGGATCTTTCCATCTGGGATGAATACATACCAAATTGTATTTAGTGATGGACTATAAACCAGTAAACCAGATTTGTATCTTTCACAAGTAGAACAGCTTCATTCATAATCCATAACTGACTTTGATCCATGACATCAATGATTAGATGGAAGACTCTCAATCTACAGGAACCATTCTGAGAAAAATGTGGTTTAAGTATATTTTGTTAAGGAAGAATCCATAACTGTTACTGACAATGTGAATGAGGAGAAAATTTGCAGAACATCTCCCCCTCAGAACTGCCATCTTTTGGATTGTGTCACTTGGTTCAGTAGGAGACTTACTAGGGAACCATTGTCTGTAGAGCCTGACCTTTGGTCGCCCGCAGCAGGAAGCCCTTGACTCACTTTGAGCCCACTTCTCCACTGGATTACAAGAAGGATCAAGTGATCTCCAAACACCTGCTCAGCCCCCAGAAGCCCCAAGGCTGGAGGAGGAGGGAAAGAGATGCTGGAAGACTCCCTGAGTGGTAAGAGAAAAAAAACAGGCCACAACCTTTCCTTGTAGAATTCTCTGCACAAATTGGGAGGTCAAGGAAGTGGAAGGCGTCGGTGTCCACATAAGTTAAGGCAACACCAAGGTCAACTACCTGGGGACTCATTTGCTAATGTTTGCATGAAAGGCCTGGACAAGTGAGAAAGCCCAAAGTTTGGATTCGAGCAATCCAGTATTAACCCTTCCCCCATCCCGCAGCATATACCTGGCAGGATGAGTCCTAGGGGAGGCTTTGCAGGCGCAGCCCCTGTGGGGCCCTTACTTTGCAGGCTCATTCCTTGATCCTTTGGATCAAGCCAGGAATGTGCTCCTGCTGGGCCCCTTTCTTGGGCCTCCTCTGGCTACTCTCAAAAGCGGAAATCTGGTCAGGTCAGCTTTTTGGGAACATTTGTTACAAACATCCTTAAGCTCTTAGTGGCATTCTCATGCACTTGCAGACCATTACCTGGATTTCTTTTTCAACAAACCGCTTCAGTCTAGTTTCCCATCAATTCTGCAAGGGCTGTCTCCTTTGCTCTGCACTCAAAGTAGAGCTGGCCCCCGGGGAGGCCGTCAAATATTTGTTAAAAGAATTACCTGTTACTCAAAACAAGTCAAATGTCAGGACAAACAGCCCAATTTACAGGGCAGTCACTAGGTCTAGGGAACATTACTTCACAGCTGACTTTGCAAGATGAATATATGGAAAAGGATTTGTTTGGATTAATGACTGACCCACAGTAAAATGCTTTCAGAGGAAAGTGCTGGTAATGGGTGTGGTTGCACATGCCTGTAATCCCAGCCATTTGGGATGCTGAGGCAGAGATTGTGAATTCAAGGCCAGCCTAGGCAATTTAATGGGACATTGGCTCAAAATAAAATTAGGAAGTGCTGGGAATGTGGCTCAGGGGTGGAGCACTTGCCTAGCTGGCCTGAGGCCCTAGATTCAAAACATACAATAGCCAGGCATGATAGCTCTGTGCCTGTAATCCCCACTGGGAATAGAGAGGCAGGACTGCTCTGAGTTCGAGGCCAGTCTAGACTATTTATAGTCTAAATGCAATGCAAAGACCCTGTCTCAAAGAACCAATAATGAAATGTGTGAAATATAGGGTTTTTTCCCTGTGCTGGATTCAAACTTAAGAGCCTCATGCATGGTAAACCCAGTACCACTGAGACACACCCGTCTTCTAGGTTGGCCTTAAGATCTTGTGCTACTGCCCTGGATTCAAAAGCTGCTGCTATTGGAAATAAGTCACTAAACCAGAAATTTTAGACTGGGCATGCTGATGTGTCCTATATTTTCATCACCTGGGAGGCTGAGGCAGGAGTTTGAGACCAGCCTAGATGGTTTAAGGAGAATTTGTCTCCAAAAAAATCCTTCAACAGTTCAATTTTAATGATTTTAAATGGAACCATCATTGCTCTCTTCAACACAACAAAGTAACACATGACACAATTTATGTAAATATTTTCAAGGTTTTATTGCAAACCAGAATTGGCTTACCACACACAAAAAGTTGTGTGGTAGGGAGGAAGGATTGTACATATTATAACCATGTTAATTACAATACATTAAAATGGTGGTTTACATTACAAATAAGCCTGTAAGTTTAAATATACTAGTGTTATAACCCAATGTACAGACTTTATACAATACATACAGTTATCAGGAATGCAAAAAAAAAACATAAATAATGCCCATTTTACAGGTGACATTTTAAACAATGAAAACACCAATGGCTGTGACCGACATCTGGGGCATTGGTCCATAAAAACCCTTTCTAAAAATAGAAATATTTGTAGCAGCAATGCTGTCTTTAAGCATCTAGATGCAAATCATTGCAAGACCATTTCAATAAGTTTTAGTTAATAACTATCTTACAAAAAAAAAAAAACAGTCTACACATAAATTTATCTTCCAAATATGGAAGAAACAAACAATGTCCCACATTGTAGTGTCCTGCAAGTGTCACATTGATGCTTATAACAAAATCCATCTGCGATCAGGCATACCACACTCATACCATTGTTCACACACTAAATCCACAAGGAAAAATAAAGAACTGAAACACTCTGCGATAGGGAAAGCTTTGGAGCTAACAGGATCTCATCAGAAAAGGCACATTTCAGAATATTCATTATCACAGCCCCAACAGACCTAGGGAAGACCCTTCTCAGACCTGCGTCTCCCTTCTACTGAGACTCTCACACCTGTCAGGGGCGGCGCTCAATTCAGAGATAGCACCAGGTTGGGAGGAAGGATAAAAATGAAAACCTCACACGAGCTCACTGAGAAGGATGTGCTCTTTGAAAAGCTTCCAGCAAACAGTGTGCAACAGGGCTGCCAGAGATGTGCAAATTCTCTTTAAGATGTCCAGTCAGCTGGCAGCTCCACCAAAAGGCTAACTAAAACATTCACAGACACATGTAGGGTCCTTCACAAGCACCCCTAGGACTGCTCAGAGGAAAGAGTCCATGGGAGGCGCGTAGGAGAAGCCAAGGAACGCCTCGGCCGCTTCCTTTACGCTGGCTGTGATGAGGATGCTGTCAGGGGACCTGCCGATTGAACTGGGGACAGGCTCCTCGGTAAACTCTGGATCGAAGTGCCGCAAGTCACTGGGTCCACTCTAGGACAGGAGGAGAAAATACACTCAGCATCAAAAATGCTCCTGGGTACGCAACAGGGAAGCTTTCGGGCTTGTAATAGTAGAGCTCAACTCTTCAAGATGCTTTATGGAAACTCCCAGAGCACTGCCTTTTAGGTACAAAGCCCTAAGGGCCACATATGATTTAAATAAAGGAACAACAAAGTTCACTTTTGCCTGTTGGTACTTTTGGAAAGACTAGGCTTGAAACATTATGTGACTTTTTTGAGGACAAACTTACTGTCTGGGACCATAATGGGTCTGCGGACACAATACCTGCCAATTTACTACTTTCAAATCCCACCAACCACTATCCTGACTTACAAAGTGCATTTTGGGTTTCCCTGTAGTTAAGAGACAGAAACTCACCACATTTGGGTTAAAAGGAGGAGTAATCTTCTTGTTTATGAGATCATCCCAGTTAATGAGGGAGAAGAAGACGTGACTCTTAATCTCCATCTGTTGAGAAGAGACAGAGATGAATGTAGACAGACCGGAGGCAGGAAAGGTGGGGGGCAGGGGGGAGCACTGTGCTCCCAGAGGGCCAGAACACAGGAAACACCACTCACAAAGTCATCCTTGGCTCCCAGCCTCTTGGTCCTGTCCTTCTGCAGGAGCCCCTCCAGGAGATGCCTCGCAGAATTTGTAATATTTGGTTTCAACTGGAGGGGTTTGTTCAGGATGTTGTCATACATCTCAGCTGTGTTTCGGCTATAAAAAGGAGGCTGAAAGAAGAGGGAAAATTACTTCATAATCTTGTTAGAAGTTCTGTATAGCATGTATTACCAACAGGGGAAAACGGTTCAATTGCAGTATATAGTATTTAGCTGAACTTGAGATCGTCTTTCCCTGGGTGTGGGGAGGGAAGTCTATGCTAATAAGCTATAGTTTTTACTAGATAAAAATTACTCCTATAAAACTAATAAGCTCATCAGCTTCTGATAAGCTTACTGATGAGGCCAAGCCAGGGCAAGGCTGGCATATCAGCCTTGCCCAGATAATTCTTGTCTGTAGGAGGCCAGTGTTCCAGAGAATGTCACAGAAGCAGGGGCGATGCCCACAGTTCCCCTTGTGCTACTTACCAAGCCATACAACATCTCATACAGGACGGCTCCCAGGCACCACCAGTCCACAGTCCTGTCATAAGGCTGCTTATGAAGTACCTCGGGTGCAAGATACTGAAAGATTCAACAGGGAAAAAAAAAAAAAGAATTTAGAATTGACAAAACCAGGCGATCTCAAAGCCAAATATACACTTTGAAAGGCTAAGACCTGGGGTCAAGCTGGAGGGTATATTCCTTTAAATTATTTTCCAATAAAATCCCTGTACTTTTTGAAGCTAACATGCTCTCTAGAAGCACTGGTATTTAGGAAACAACAGGGCACCCCCAGGTATCTTACTTGGGGATCTAAAAGACCTTTTTCATGACATGGATCCTACCAAGGGTAGTTGTATTTGAAGTACTAGAAGGCCTTACTATGTCCCATGTTACAGCAAACAAAAGTGTACTTGAGCTGAACTGTACTATGAGCTCTCTAGAGTTTACTCTTTGGGCAGTCAAAAGTATTACTGCACACTTCTCTCCTGGCCTGGTGGGAGGGCTGGCAGCAGATCAAGAGTTCCTACCTCAGGTGTGCCGCAGAAGGTGGATGTTGTGCCATTATGTTCAATGTTTTCCTTGCAGAGTCCAAAGTCAGTGAGGACAATGTGCCCCTGGGAATCTAGCAAAATATTCTCTGGTTTTAAGTCTCTGTAATACAAAAAAAAAAAGTTGTTGCATAGTTAATTTCATTTTATAAGATCAGAAGATATCCTCCATAAAGATCACTGCCAAGAAGCATTTAAACGCAGGAATAGTATCACCTCAGAAAATAACCAAAAAAAGGTCCTTGTAGTATTCTGTATTAACACAATCCTATCTGCTGGCTTCCTACTAGCATGGAGTCAAGAAAGGGCATATGCCAGGACACCAGATTTTGGGTGACCACGTGGCACATAAGTACCCATTATTTTAAGGCTCCAGAGACTATGCTCCTCCCCACCCAGGAAGGCAGCTGTATGAGCTCTCTGACTCACCTATACACGATGTTCAGAGAGTGCAGGTAACCCAAGGCACTGGCTATTTCAGCAGCATAGAAGCGAGCCCGGGGTTCTAGGAAGCAGCGCTCCCTCTGGAGGTGGTAGAATAACTGCAGAAGACAGAACAGGATCAGTCTGGCTGCCAAAGCACGGAATCACTCTTGACATACACTGCTAAAGATGACAATTGCAGGAAGTGGCTTTAAATAATCCATTAACTATTTGAAAGCCGGCAAGTTAAAAGAAACGCTAATTCTTTTTTTTTTCTTCTAAAATCTCAGTGTTGAAGAAATGCTAATTCTCGTAACTTTTCCTCTCTGCTAGGTAGCTTTAAACTAAGTATCTCTAAAAGCAAACAATTTGCAGACCCAAAGCTTGGCTTCTGTCCACACTGGCTTACCTCTCCACCGTTAATGTAGTCTAGGACAAAGTACAGTTTGTCGGCAGTCTGGAAAGAGAAGTGGAGGCCCACCAGGAAAGGGTGCTTCACATTCTTCAATAGGACGTTCCGCTCTGACATGATGTGCTTCTCCTAGGAAAAGGACAAGATTTAGTGGCAAATTGCAACTTGTCACTAAAATCCCAGGGTAAAAACTCACTGAGCATGCATCTGTGACCCCAAGCCACGGGAGGCATCTCATACCTCTTTCTTTTTCAGGATTGCTTTCTTCTGTAAAACTTTGACTGCATAGAATGCTTCTTCTGCTTTGTGCCTTGCGAGAAGAACCTGAAATTTCAATTAAAAATTATTTTTCTATCCTCATCCAATAAGAATGTAAAAAAAAAAAATACATGGAGGAGTATCTTGAAAGTCTTTGCATGTAAAATTACCTTTCCAAAACTGCCTTTCCCAATCACTTTCAAGAAGTGAAAGTCCGATGGTTTGGCATGAGGATTGGATGATGGACCAAGGTTGATTTGCTGAGAAGGACTTGGCTAGGAAATAAAACATTCTTGATTAATTTCACTACTTCAAAGAATAAATTACAGGCAATGTAAAAGCTTACAGCTAGATAGGACTTAGACAAGTCACTGAACACTTACAAACATTTACAAAATGGTTTTTCATCCATGCATGTTATTATTTAAAATGAAAATGGAAACGGCACTTATGTTGCAAACATAAATTTTATGAAGTGTGCCTTTAAATATACTCCACTGACTCAATACTTAAATACGTGTCACCTGTTACATTGTGAACTAATGCATTCCTGCCTTGATAATTTCTAGAAATGCTATTTTAATCAGCTAATGCAGAAATACGAATTCATTTATAATTTTCCTCCACAGATGAACAAATAGAGAATACTTACTGGAGGAGAGGGGTTGGCATTCATTAGCTCAGGCTCCTGAGGTTGGGAGATTTTCAAAATGGACTGAACTTCGGGGCTGTAGAGAATGAAGAACAACTTTAGAACTCCTACATCGCCGCTAGGGGGCACACCGAGCTAAACAGTAGACCTAAACGTTCCCAGAGAATTCAGCATTTAAATCGACAACACCAAAGTAAATTACTTAAACCGGGCGTGGTGACGCACATCTAAAATCTCAGCACTCAGGAGACTAAGACAAGAGGATTGTTGCGAGTTCGAGGCCAGTCTGGCATACAAAGTGAACTCAAACCCGGCCTGAACCGCACAGCAAGACCCTGTCTCAAAAGACCAAAAATAAGCAACAACAAAAAATCCCCAAGTTAATTACTTGAAGGAAAAACAGTTAAATTTTTGACAACCCAGTTAAATATAGAAATTTGGGTTGTTCCTGGAGAGGGTGTTGAAAACAAGGTCAATTCATAAATTCATTTTAGTGTTTAAAATGTGTCAGATAAAGTAAAACTTAAGGAGAGAAGAGATTTCCACTCCCGGGGGAAGTCTTGGGCTTCCGGATGAGCAGTGACGCGAACAAATCTTCGCGAGTGGTCAATTACAGCAATACTACCTTTTATTTCCTCTGATTCCCCTCTGAACTTACTGTTTGCATGCATAGGAGTTATTGGCTATCTTCTGAATAAAGTCGTTCAGGCCCATCCTTCTTTGCTTCATGAAAGCTGTGGATTAAAGATCAGAGAAATACACATTTAGCCGGTTTTATAAGGTCCAACTCTACACACGCAAATTTGATGTGGGACCTTCAAAACACTTCCACTTCGCGAATCCCAGAGTCAAGCCTCTTTTCCTACACTCACCTATGAGAATCGCTACCATTCCCCTCATTCTGGAGTAAGTGACAGTGCCTCTAGCAGCCTCGGTTTTCACCGTCATTGTCGCGAAAAGAACACTGACTGAAAAGAACCCGAGACCGACTTGGGCGACACTGCGCGGGACCAGAGTGCGGTCAGCTTTATAAGCCCTGAGCCTCTTTGTGGGCGGGGCGTGGGCGTGGCCTACGTGCAATGAGGAAGCCGCGCGAGAGCCCCGCCCCCTGCGGCCCCCTGCGGCCGCGCGCCGGGCCGCCTGTGTGGAGAGTGGCGGACCGTTCGCTCCTCCGGGAGTCGGGGAGCCAAGGGCGGGGCGGCCCCCAGCTCGCTCGGACCCCCTGCCCGAGAGGGAAACGCTGGCGGAGGAGACTGGGAGGGATGGACGGCCCCGGGTAATTTTCCACTTTTCCTCCCTTTTTGGCGCTGTGTGAAGAGTGCAGGATCGCCGCGCCGAGGCGCTCTCCGGCCGGAGCCGGGCGACCCAGGTGGCCGTGTCCCCGCTCGCCCCTGGCTGCGGACGCGCTCGCGGCCCGAGAGCCTGGCGCCCCCGACCCAGGCGCCACCCCGCCGCCTCCCCGCGCCGGCCTCCGCCGCCCGTCCGCGTGGCGCGACCCGCCCCGGGGGCCAGGCGCACGCTCGGCGTGGGGCTCCGGCCGCCGCGTCGCCCTCGCCTCCGGCGGCCCCAGACCACCCCCGAAGCCCCGTCCCGAGCGCCGCGCGGCGCCGTGGAGCCGCTCGGCCGAGTAGCTGAGCCCCCGACGGGCGGGGCGCTTACCCAGGCCGCTCAGCAGGAAGGACTCGCTCCTTTTCTGCGCCTCGACCCTCTTTTTGTGGCGGGGCCGGAGCAGGGACTCGAGCCGGGCCCGGGCCAGCGTGCCCTGCGTCTCCCCCATGGACAGCGGACTGCGGGGCAGGCGACAGAGACCGGCGAGTACTGACGTTTCCTTGAAGGGACCGCCGTGACTCAGGCCGGGCAAGATTTCCTGCCCCAAGTCCCAAAACAAACAAATGGCCCTTGTGCACGGCCGAGTCGCTTCCGAAAACGCCTTTTTTGTGCTTTTGTCCAAAACCAAGCAAGGCTGAAGAATCCCAGAACTTGGAAGAGGGGGAAGGAAGGAAAGAAAGAGGGAAGGGGGGGTCAGGAATGTGTAGGGGAGGGGGCGGAAATAAAATAAGTCTCGGCACTAAAGGGGAAAAAAAGTGCAATCTGCATTGCACTTTTTTTTTTTTTTTGTAAACTAATCTGCAGGAACATTCCGTCCGTTCTGCATGTAAGTTTTGTGGCTTTTTTTTTTTTTTTTTGCCTCGCATTTTTAATCCCTGACATGCCCAGAACACGTGAGGAGATGGCAAGGTAGGGAAGAGGTGGCTTTGCTCAGCGACTGCCCTGGCTTGACCCTCCGTCGCCGATTCGCCTGCCTCGCCTGGGGGTCTGTTCCTGTCCCGCTCTCCCACCAGCAAACTATAAAATCACATTGCATTACCTTACAGTCCCTTCGCTAGTCCCCATCTTGCTTACTCCTTTGGTTTATCTCGGAACTGACCCGAGAATAATCTTAAATTTTGCTACTTTTTCTCTCAAGTTCCCTTGTAAATGACTTGTGAATCCTTGGAGGTTAACCGACAGAATGCACTCCAGAAGGCAGAGAAGGGAGGGAAGCCAGAGGCTGTATCCCGAGCGGGCTGGGCCGGACTGGAGAGAGAACGAGGCCGGTGCCTTCCAGTAACCCCGGTGCTGTGAGCTGCAGTCTGACTGCCGAGCGGGGACGCGCGCCAGCGCTGGCCGGGCAAAGCCACAGACACTAAGCCTGGCCCAGGGGCCAGGGAGACGCTTCGAGTTACCAGTATTCGCAGCGCTGGTACCTGGCGCTCGCTGACGCTGTCTGCGGCTGCCCTGCTGTGGCCCCTTGTTGCCAAAGGGCCTGCCATTTTCAAGTTGACACACTGCAAAATGCCAGCTGTCAAACGGGGACTAGCATGCGCAGCGCTTTTTCTTGAATCTTGGCAGGGTTTTGTTTTTTCAGGTACAGTCACCTCAGCCCTAGTAGTTCCATGGTCAGAGACCAGGAGAAGGGGACATGGCATCTTCTCTGTCCTAGAGACTGGTTGACAAACTTTGCTTAGCACCAGCTTTTTATAAAAGCACTTTCTATTGGCTGCAATTAAACCTCCAGCCTAAAGAAAGGTTAGGCAATTGCAAATCACAATAACTGCTCCACATGTGCAAAGTTTGCTTAGGCTGCTGAGAATCTTTGCTGTTGTGCTAAAACATTAAGAACCTTCCATCACACTGACCTGTATTCACCTTGTGCGCCTTCTCCATAACTAACCCCAGCTCCTCTGCAGTATCTGTTTTATCCACCCTCCCACAACAGATAGTACTCAAAGCACAAACCTTTCCAAGGGGATCTTATAGCCTCCTCCTTCATTCTTCAGCTGGAACAGAATATGAAGGTTGGGGGTAACTTCAGAGGTTAGAGGGGAGCTTGGGGCTGTGTGCCTCAGGAGGCTGGAAGCTCAGAGATGACAAGGGAGCACTAAGCAGAGGCCACAGTCCTCCTTGTTAGGAACCCCACTTTATATAAGGGAATTTACATACAGGAAGAGAGCAAGCTACAAAGTTCAACACTGGGCCGTTTATCCCTCCCCTCCCCCTGCCTCCCTTGCAACATCATCCAAAAAACTACAGTCATAAGCGTCCTAGGTTTGTTACACCCTCAGCAAGACACACAAGAAATGTAGCTTAGCTGATTATCACAAATCAGCCCAGAAAAAATTCAAAACACATGCTCAGGATTCATTTTCTCAAAGGAGCTCTGCAGCATGCAAGCCAGGAAGGATATGGAATTCAAGTTAGAGGGCTCTGACTGGAGCAGGGCCCTCTAACCATGTATTTGTGGTTGGGACAGAAAAGAAACCGTCTCATGTGCCCCTTCTTCCCCCATCCGACTGTGCAGCTCTGGGAGACGGATGGTCTGTTAAACTTATCATTTAACAGAGAGAATCAAGTTGTTGAGACTGGGTTTTTTTTCCAACCGGATACCTGATGGGTGGGGCTGGCGTCCCGTGTTCTGTCCCAGCAACCTACTAAGACTTCCGAACAGGAAGGTGACACACGGCCAAGGGGGGAGGGGAGACGGAGGAACTGTGTGCGACGCGCCTGTTAGCGCTGCGCCGGCTTTAGGTTGCCTTGTGGCCGCTATTCAAACACTTGATCTGTGCTTCCTTCCTGTCGCCAGTCTCTTTCTTTGGTTCAGCTAGTCCTCCTACCAGGGGGAATCCGGCCCTTCCTTCTTCCTCCCTGGTGGCGAAGTGGCCAGAGTTGCCTCGCCTTGCTGAACAAACGTAACCTAGAGGGCGATCGTGTTCTCCGGGAGAACCACTCCGGACTGCAAAGATTGTGCTCTTTTCTCCTGAGCTCTGATCAGTCCCGGGGAATTTCCCTGCAACCCCTAGTACAGGCACAGGATGTACAGATAGCTGAAGAGACCAGCTAGTTCCCCCAAGCCAGTAGTCTATGTATGCCTCGCTGAAGGGACCGCATCAAAACTAATAGAAATGATTCACCCAGATGTAAACTGCAACAAAACAAAACATTTTTCAAGGTATGTTTTTATTTTTGCGTTTTTTTGCAGCATTTCAGGTTGGACCCAGGGCCCTTAACCTGAGCTACATCTCGAGCCCATTTTTAATTCTTTTTTAAAATTTTTAAACAGGTGTTACTCAGTTGTCCTAGCTGGGGTTATACTTGTAGATCTGTTGCCTCAGCCTCCTACAGAATGCTGAGATTACAAGCCATGTCACCATGCATGTGTATGTGTGTTTTAATACTTGGGAAAATTGGCGTTTTGTTCCTTTTCTATTTCATGTTAGTGATGGGCTATAAATACTAAAACCTGAAAGCTTTACTAAAATATGATTTTACTCAATATAAAGACTTATAAATTAAGTTCTCAATATTTTAGAGGAAATAGAAAAAATATTTTTATAAAGACGTCATAACCTCTGACTTCCTGCAGCATGTTAGCTGTGTTAGTCTTCAATACCTAGATTTAATATCTCCCGCTAACAACAGGACAATGCCTTGCTTTATATTTGTCAGAGAGCCAGAAATGATGAACAGTTCTGCGCACACCTTAGATTCCCATGTTTTGATTTATTGGTTGGCACGTACTGAAACTTTTCTCTGAAACATCCTCAAAGAAAGTACCCAGAAATACTAGTACCTGTAACCATTACTCTACAGAGCAACTGAGTGGATCAGCTTTGCTGGAAGTTGTCACCAAGTCCCTGTCTTTTTTGTTTTTTATACAGTATGCATCAAACAAAATGATGACAAGCAAGTTTATTTCATGATACCTATTAGGGACAAGTAATCGCAGTGGTGGGTATTTAAAATGTCTATTTATAGGATGCAGGTTCTATAGTGTTTATTACCTTCCATATTCATAATCATCAAAATTGACATGCATGAAGAAAAATGTGAGATAGCAGATAGACAAGAGAACAGATTATCCATAATAATAGTGCTCAGGGTTATTAAAACCCACAAAAGCACATGCAGGGCTTTTTAAATAGTTTTTATTTTTATTATTTTTTTGTACTGGGGATTGAACTCATGACCTTGCACTTGCCCGGCAGGTGCTTATGACACTAAGCCAAATCCCCAGCAATTTTTTATTTTTTCAAAACAAAGGGATAACAGGAATGTTCTAGCTCTTCCTTTTACAATGCGAGACCCCAGGCAAGTTGATGATAGAATCAGGCATGGCTTTGTGATATATTTCCTTTTTTATGTCCAGCAGGGCAGACAATAGTAGAAACTAGAGCGAGCTCATAACATGGAAAAATGTGCAATAGATAGCAAGCAGCCAGTGAGTCTGCAAAGGCTGGAGAGTGCCCTTGGCTCTGTCTTTTGAACTGTTGCCCGTGTCTGACTGAACATAATGCAATGAACAACAAATAAAATCTTTTTAAACCTATCAACTAGAAAACAATATAAAGAGTGTGGACTAGTACACATTTTGTAGCTTTGTATTTGGCTCTCAGGATTTATCTGCAATATGACATCCACATTTTGTAAACGATATGATTATGAAAAACGATACAACAGTCTGCATAGAAGAGGAAATTGGAAAAACCCTGAAGTCAAAATTCAATACTATTGGTGACTTTCTAGCTGGCCTTACTGAAAACCTTATGATTCCTGGCATAGCTTTGTGGTTAGGCATTTACATTTTAAAAACATTTGTCAACTGAAAGAAATTAATTTGTAGTGATAAAATGTCAAGCACTGTGGCAATAAGTAGGTCACAGAATTGTGGGGTGGGGAGCCTCCCCACTCTCTCTGGCCCTCTGTCGCCTCTGCTTATACCCCTTTCAGGTGAACCGT